CTATATTCTTGGGGTTCCCTATTCGGGGTTCCCAGTAGAGTCCCTTTATAGACTCCAAAAGGCAAGAAACTGCTCAAACCGTAGCTTGCCGTCCAGTACTCACCTCATGCATATGGAACATTTCGACTCCTGAAACTTCCCCAACGCCTTAGGAATTCATTTTTCCTATCCATCTGATCAAGCTATATAACGGAAATTTAAGCTAGTAGCCGTTGCTGCTGTTACCTGTCTTCCCAGGTTCTACGGATGTCGGTTTGATGTCCTGCCCGACTTGAGCGTGAACTGTCCAAACCGCAGCACCTCTATTTCGGTATAGGGCATGAGAGTTTGGGGTTTGGGGTTTTAAGGTTTTGGAGTTTTGTGAGCTTGTAGGGTTTGGGGCTTAGCCTAGTCTCAGTCAACAGCTAAGTCAACAGTGTTGTCTCCAGGTCTGCTGCTTTTTGGAACAGCTAGAAGTCTGGGGTCACATGCCAGCCGTCGATACCCTGGAGAGTCCTAGATTTTTTGTTGGCGGCTCTCACTGTGAGAGGTTCTCCGAACAGAGCATCGCATCAAAAAATAGGGGGGCCGCGCCATCTTATCTGCGTCAATTCTATTGGAGTGATGTGGCCGGTCTTGTCGGTATTGCTGCACAGTTATGACGGCATTTGCGATGCTTGCACACTTCATTCGATCCCTCCTACCAGAATTCCTACTAGGATGCGTCAAGCGGATCCTTGAACTTCCCTTCTCGCCCCTTGCAATCAGCAAACAAATCTGGGAAAGTCTTAACACCACGCGTAATACACCCCGGGCTTCGTAATGCTCAGGCGACAATTTCAGGGGGTACTAAAGGCAGGTAATTACTGTATTATCCTCCAGGAGTTCGTATGTCCATGGAGGAAGGGGTCATGGAATGATGTAGATGGCCCTGTCCATGCATGGTAGAGATCTTCCCGGGTTCTTCAACAAATATTCGGCCAATACCTTGCACAAGGGAGACCTTCCTGCCTCTTGTGAGAGCGCAAACTCTACGAAGCCATGCGCCACGCTGGCCATAGCGGTGTCAACTAAGCAATGCTACCTGAGAAAACCTACATGATCCGGAACCCAGGCTTCGGAAGAGGAAGGGAATGGTTGGATACCCCTCGTGCTAAGCCTCTTGACGTCATGCATCCTGAAAGTGCTCCACGGACAAACCTGTACACGAAAAAGCTCCACGCGGAAGCAGCGAGAGGAACGTAATCACAACACACAGGGTGATAAGGCGCTAAGACTACCCAACTACACGAGATTTGACGTTAGTCCTATGAGCGGCTGCTCTTCCTGCTCGTGAGCCTGCAGCAACTCGCGGCAACAACGTCTTAGCACTCACCTGTGACCGATAGGCCTCCTAAACTGCATGTAGCTCAAGTGAGGTATGCCGGGTCTGAACTACAGTCCTCTGGAAACCGGGCAGCATTCCAGATGGGCAGAAGCCACCGCTCTCACAAAATCTGACGGATGCTGGACGCAGGTCAGATGCAAATCCTTGAGCTTCAAGACTTCTTGTCATAAGGGCAGTCGTAGGTACACATTCTCCGGGTTCCTACAATCGGCACATATGCCAACCTATCATTACTCGCACCCATGTAGGCATTGCTGCTGTGCTGTGGGGTATAGGTCCCAAAGCCTTCAGGACAGTATGCCCCTGAAAAGGTAAAGGTATCCAACGCATAACGACAATTCCCAAGCACCAGAGGAACTGCTCCTACACAAGGGTGTAAGCAATTGCGGCGCAAAATCATCTTTGAACGATATGCAAAGCCGCTGAGCTTTGTGGGTTCCCCGGATACCCTTACATGGACACTGCAATCCCAACTGTACGTCCCCCCTGTCCACCGGAAACCGAATGTGAAGAGTCCAACTTTCATCCCAGAGGCATTCAAGAGCTTTAGTCACCGACCTTGGTTTCGAAGCCTCCGACTGGCGAGGAGTGTGGCCTCTTGAAGTACTCCTGTTCACTTGGTAGTCATCTACAAAGACTAGCTTAGCATTCGAAATTTCAAGGGTTCCCCTGTCTACTCCATACACTACAATCTTTGCTATCGGCACTACACAAAAGGAACCCCTAGATCTAGGAACCCCCTATCTATAAAACCCTACGTAAATGCAATTCAATTGATTCTCCATATTGGGCCACAAATCCCTGGACTCTGAACCCCCCAAAAGTAGCCCTAAATGCAATAGTTTCCATTTCTTTTCCATGCCTCTATGTATATATATATACATGCGCACGCATCCCTATGGGGCTATATGTCCTAGATCTACAGGAAACCTGCACTTGAGTGCTCTAAGTGTTGCATTCTATGTGGTGCTCCAAGCTACCCAGGACAGAAAGCCCGGTGACATGTGCATCGTATCAATGATGCAGGGCATCAGACATTGTGCAGTCTACACAAGATGTAAGACCTGCTGAAGATATATTTGGGGGGGGGGGGGCGTCAAATTCAAATCCCGTTTTGGGTGTTCTATATGTGAGGACATCTGTTTTAATAATCGTGACCGAAGAAAGAGACCATGATATTGACAAACTACTATGCGGCTCCAAGTAGCGCAACTTTTTGCGCGGCACGAGGGTGGCTTGCAGGTGCCGCTGGCTACTTGGAGGGTCAGGGGCACTTAGCAAACTAGGTTAACAAAGGGGCTAACTGGGATTATGATATGGCTTATAAGGGCTGTGAGCATACTTACTAAGCCCCCGTGACTCTCCAAGTAGCAGCTCTTGCGCACGTGGAGAAAGGAGCTGATTCAAGCTGAACCCTTCCTCGAAGATTAACATTAATCTTGGGATTTCTGCGTTTCGTACTGGGGCTTAGTGGAGAATATGGGAATATAGTATACAGGAATTATATTAGGATTATATTTAGGGGTGATATCCTTGTTCCCTACTAAGCACCAGTGACTTTAAGATTCCAACACTGAATTAAGTACTAGTTCCAAACATCGTCCAAGCAACCAAAGCCACTTTCTAACAGCTGAGGCCCCTAGACACCAAACTTGTACATACCTCGAGTATGACAACAACTGACATGTAAGCTGGAAAGTGTCTACGCAGCACGTGAAGCATCTGTAAATTCGTAGGATGGGCTTTTATGGGTGCCTTTCAAAGTTATGTGGAAATCCTCTTTGGAAATCAAATACATCGAGCAGTGCTACGAATGGGTCTTTGGCGGATGCCCGGAAGTGAGAAAAATGACTACCCCCTATTACCCCTATATAATCCTTATATAACCCCTATGCGCTATATTCCCATATTCCGTACCTCCGATACCATGGAAAGGGCAACTGGAGGTCATGCCCAAAGAGGGAGATCCCGCATTTTTTGTCTCGGGAGGCCAGGGTCTCATATTACAACCGGAAGTAGTAAGGGTGCCCAAGCCCAAATCTCTTAAACAAACTCTGGCACTCAAAAGCAACGTCCAACAGACTAACGCAAAAGATCAGTAGCTGCTGAGTTGCAAGTAATGTCCCCATGCATCATTCATGGTACCTGGGTATACTATACCTCAATTATATCTCAAAGCAATGTTGAGAGATTCATGCCACTATGTTGCCCTGGTTCTTTGGAAGGGTCCTGCAAGCTTGCTTCGGAGAAATCCATCCCTCATTTTCGAGACATAGCAGCCTCTCTCGTTGACTTGACACTCAAAGGAAACCTGGCGGCTGCGCTTAAGGCAGGCTTCTGGGTTGGGCCTCTGCGGGTTTTTAGCGGAAAACGCCCTACCAAGATCTCGTGGTGGTTGCTGTTAAGAGAAAACGAAGTCGAAATGAGTTTTGTTCAGACTCATGGAGACTCCGGAACCCTTGCACCCCATTCAGCTGCTCCTACATCAATCCCCACAAGAATCAACCCAACAGGGACATGCGCCGGCAGCGTATGAATTTCAATCAAAAGTTCGGGGCCTGCAACATCATGAGAGGTTGTCCCATGTTTCTTTTGTTTTCTGATCGGGCATCTGGTATCTTATCGCCCCTCTTGACCTGGAATGGAACAAACATTGGTGCTCTTCTGTTTATGCTGACACAGAACTTTTCTTGTCAGTTATGCCTCAAGAAAACAGTTGGGTGCGTGCTATAGGAGGTTCTTGAGGTAGAGGGAGGATCTCAGGACCACAGCTGTCTGCTTCAGGATTAAGGACAGTAGGAGTTGCTTTCCTTCAGGGTTACGAATGTGGGGGTTGTCCAATATTCATCTACATTCCTTCTTCCAGAAGCAGCCCTTTTGCCCCCCCCTTTCACGGACCTTGCGCGCCCTTTCGCCCACATTTTCTTGACATTTGCAACAAGCCTTCTGTGGTCTTGCGCAGTGGTCAAACTATGTCACGCTGTTGGTCAAGCTGTGTCAGGCTACAAGAGAAGTTGTTCGGATTAGCTTAGGAACCTTTCGCAAACCTTGCGCCGCCCTTTCGCGAGACTTCGGCCGCAGTGTTTTTCGTTATGCCTTCCCGTGTCTATTTTTGCCAAACGCGTGCTTTCAGACAGTCCCTGTATAGAGAGATTTGTTTTGAGAAAATCGCACATGATGCCAACAAGAGGGCTTGGAGTTGCTGAGCCACTAACGAGGTCTGTATAGGGGTTATATAGGGTGTATCCTAAACAAACTTCAGAAACTCAACAAAACATCCAAGATTCGGTTTCACAAGAAA